AAATATGTCTCAATTGTTCTGAAAAAAATATAGATAATAAAAAAAGAAATTGTCCACATTGCAATGAGAAACTACCAACCCTTGATTCATTAAATTTAAACCAAATTTCTCAATAATCACCTGAGAGTGCATCTTTAAATAAAAAAATCTGAACATGGTGTTCAAAAATCTAAACTTAGCATAACACAAAAACTTATACCAGACAAAGGAGTAGAGGTTCCAGGCATTTACATTCCAGATCCAATACCTGTAAATCCAAATTCATTAAAAAATGTTGAAATTGTATTAAAACATATAGAAAACATTACAAGAATCAAATCAGGGAAATGTAAATGGGTACCTGTTGTATGTGATGGTGTGTCTTATAACCTTGCACTGAAATTGAGAAATGATTTCCCTTGGCTAACTTTACTTCCTGGAGCTCTACATGAAGAAATGAATATGCTTAAAGCATTTGTAGAATTAAATGGGTAAAAATTTTTAAATTTTAGATTGCATTATTATTTGAAAAAAAAGAAAACAAACTAATTACCTATATTATATATAAAGGGAAATAGATATTAAATCATTTGCCAAATTTCAAGGTTACAACAAATCAGAAAAACAATTAGATTTTTTCAGAAAATGCATTGATTTTCATAAATCTTGGGACTCTATATGTAACATTTATTGTCATTCAACAGCTTCTGAGCTGGTCTGGCTTTACATTAAAAATGAAGAAAATCCAACTGTTGATGGTTATCTTGAATGGTCCAGAACTCAAACAAATGAAATCTATAAACTTAAATTTGAGCAAATTAAGTTTTAATTATATTTTTCAATGAATTAATCAATCTAATAAAAAAATTAGTAAATAATGCTGATTGTATTTATTTACATTAGACTTTTATTTACCTGAAAGCAATTATAAACTTTTGCATTGGTGTAAGAACAAACAATCCCTTGCTACAAAATGCAGCTAGATGTCAATTTGCACCAGTATGGTCTGCTTATAGACATCCAACTATAAATTATTGGAAGTATCACATGAAGCACTTTTGTCATGTTTAAAACCTTCAGTTAGAAAAACATTGAAAAGGCATCAGTAGTTTCTAGGTCTGGACTTTGAAATCAACATCAAGGCCTTGATGCAATATTAGAAGAATTCAATAAATCATTAAAATCTATGATTCCTCCAGTACCTTCTCAACATCATTGGGAAATTGCAGCAAGAAATTGCAAAAATTTCATGAAGGTAAGTATAGTTTACTTTCTCTATAATAGATCTTTCTATAATAAATCTTGCTCTATAATGGACTGAGAATTTAAGCCCAATTTATATGTCCCACATTAACATATAATCTATGATTCCAAATGGTCCATTATAGAGTAAACTGTAATTTAAACCAAATTAATTCTAATAGTTCAATAGCTATGTACCAATCTTTTTAATATGATTGGATTTAAGGAAAGACAAAGTTTGGGAACATGAAAAATACCTGATTTTAGTGCTGAATCGCAATGTTTTAGAGTAGAACTGAAAAGAACCAGTTTTTCACAAGAAGCCATTTTAGGAATTTGAAAGATGATGTTATTTTGAGTGAAAAAATGAAAAATTTTAGTCATCTTGCAAAAGAAAAAAGGAATATATTGTTGAAAGAAACCTTATTGCAAGGAGCTTCTACTAATACCTGAAATCCTATTCCAATAACAGAACAAGAAGAAACAGCACAGCAAGATGAAAAAAATATGAATAAAAAAGAGTTATTATCAATTATTAATTCTATACTTCTTTCCCTTCCTGAAACATTATGACCAAAATATAGTAGTTCGAATAATAAAACAAAGGGAAACTTATTAATAATTTTGCAAGAATTAAGAAATATATATGATACTGTTGAAACAGTTG